CGGGCAGTCCCTGGGGCTGACCTACTTGTGCCCTGTCAGGAAGAGGGAGAAACTGTGTGGGACCCGCTGCAATTTCCTTATTCCTAGACCCCGGGACTGCCTCGCTGGGAGCCTCACTGCCCACAGCCCAGAACCTTCTTTCTCCTTCTCCCCCTCAGGGCCACCCAGACAGCTATTGCTATCTCCCTCCTACCCAGCCTGGAGTCCTGCCCCTGGGCTGTTACTCCAGCCCCAAGGCCTTCACTGGGTGGTGGTTGGGGAGGGGAAGTGGGTTGGGTCTACACCTGCACTGCTCAGGGCCAACTCCTGGATTTTCAGGAAAGGAATCATTAGTGCCCTCCTGGAAATGTATCTTCTATTTTTGGTTTGGGGTCACACCCAGCTGTGCTCAGGGTTCACTCCTGGTGGGCCTTGGGGAACCATATGCATTTCCCGTGATTAACTCCAGGCCAGCTGTGTGCAAGGAAATCTCCTTTCTGCTGTCCTGCCTCTCAGACGCTGTATCCTACCTCAACAAGAAACATAAAGTTTCTCCTTCTCCAACCTCCCAAGGTTGCAGTTAACCCCTGGATCATTACTGCCCCCCAGGTTGTGGTAGCGCCCACCTTGAGAATCCCTGATACCCTGCCTCCTATTGTTTATGTATCTTGTGTTTTTCTATCATTGCTCTAGCTGTCTGTTATTCTGTTTTCCATTCAACTGACAGGCTTACTTTGCCCATATATAAATCCATCTGCCCATCCCTTCACCCCTCCATCTAACTTTCCATCCAACCATCCGTCCATCTGTCCATATTTCCATCTGTCCATTCACCCTTCACCTCCCTTATCTCTCCCTCTATCCATCTATCCTCCCTCCTTTCCTCCACCCATCCCTCCATCTTTTATCCTACCCTCCATCCGACCATCCCTCCAACATCTCTGTGCAGAAAAAACTGCCTGGGAAAGAGTCTTGTTTCCTGCACTGGGGACATTGTTGGGTAGAATAATGGGTTTCAGGTACCCAGATCCAAATCCCTGAACCTGTGCCTGTCCCTGACATGACCAAAGGCCTTTGCCGGATGATGAATTTAGGGCTTTGGGTTGGGAGCTTCTCTTGAATGTCCTGGGGAACCCTGATGGATGACTCTAGGGTCCTTCTACAGGAGAGAGGGAAGCAGGAGTGGAAGGTGGGGTTTGCATGTGGCACCAGGACAGTCTCAGTCCCTGCTGGTGACAAGAGCCAGTAGGGAAGGCTTGTCACCATGGGATTCTGGAGATACAGCAACCTAGTCTAGTACCTGAACACAAGGTCACCATCTGGTCCTCAGACCTCCATTTCTGCCTTGAAACGGCCTCCAATAGTAGCCCTGACCTGCCCAACCAGGACAGACCACTCCCCATGAACTGTACCTGAGCTGTGACACTATGTAAATGACATATCTGTGTCTGGACACTTACAGTGCTACAACTAAGTAGAGTTATGCCACTGCTTAAATAGCTTCTCTGCTTCTCCCTTCCTGATGGAAAGATGTGTTGAGCCCTTTGAAAGTTGCCAGAAACTACATCAGAGCCTGCAGCATTGTGTCTGGCTAAGAAATTCCTCAGCATTTCTCTGTTCTGAGTCTCTAAACTGGTGACCCCTCAACACTCAAGGTCAGAGGTCAGCATCTTATAAGTCTTTCTTCATGCAGATATATGTAATTTAGCTGCTTAAAATAATAAATATTTATTGTCTCCCATAGCTTCTTAGATAAAGACTCCATGCCACTGGGCAGGTGATTCAGACTCTGAGTTCCCAATTTGAATTTTTGTTTGTTTGTTTCAGGACGCATTTCTACCAAAAGCCTTTGGGTTTCTACATTTGTTTCTGAGTCTTTGGGATCATGGCCGTTAAGCAGCTCGATCAGGAACCAGAGAGACCATGCCTCCAATTATATAGCTGAGCCAGAGGTGTTATGTGGGTGTGTCTCCCACATACCTAACTTTTGGCCGTTTACTTTCTTGGTAAACTTTGCCCCAAGGTTTTGGGGTCTGGCAAAAGACACAGCAGCAATTTTGGGGTATCTGAAAGTCTGACGGTGCCATCAGGCTGCTGATGCACTCACCTCACAGGTACAGATTGACCTGCTGGCAGCACCATGCCCCCTGATTTTTGTTTTTGTTTTTTTGCTACACAGGGCTGTTATCAGGGTGTCCACTTGACTCAGTACGCCATCCCCTTGCATCCTCTGTCAGTGGGTCCTGGGAAGCGCTGTCTTCACTCTCCACAGTTCCATTGGGAACAGCCTGGAAAGGGAAGGTAAAAACTTGACCTGCAAGGTCCTTACAGACAAAACCTGCAGCCCCACGGCCCAAAGGTCAGGGTCTTCTCCAAGAGGACAGGCACTTCCCCCAGATACAGGATGAGGGGCCGGCAAGGGGCATCCATTAAAATGCAGACCCCACGTTTGATGGACAGCCCAGAGCTGTGTTCCTTACTCACATGCATGGGGGATGGACTTTATCCCTGGTACCACCTGGTCCCCTGAGCACCACTGAAACTCACCTTGAGCAGACTCAGGAGAGGTGCAAAAACCACAACATAAAGCAGAACCAGGGACCAGCACAGACCCAGCCAACGAGACTCAGGCTGTGAGTGACCACACAGGGGCATCTGTCCAGCTCAGGGGCTGGTTTTGGTTCACCACAGAGGGTGCTTCTTGGAGAGCTCCCAAAATGGTGTGGTGCTTTGTGCAGACACCTCACCCCAACCTCAGCACCCCACCCCATACTTACCCCATTAGCTGGGGCACTGTGAGGTTTCTGACCTGGGGACACAGGAGACACGTCATGAATCCAGATAGTTACAAGCAGATCCAGGGGACCACAGAGTCCAGCCTGGCCTGTTATTAATTATCAATCAACACAATCAAAACGGCTGAGCCCCATCTTGGCCATGTCAATAATGTAAATCAATATTCTCAGTTCTGCCTGAGTCCTATTCCAGCCCTGTCTTTGTTTATAAATCAATATAATCAATACTGGACAAGCTCCATCCAGCATGCTACTCATTATGAATCAATACAGCAGAGTGTGGCCAGAGGAGCTTGGTTGGGGGGGGGGGACCAAGCAGGTCAAGTTTTTACCTTCCCTTTCCAGGCTGTTCCCAATGGAACTGTGGAGAGTGAAGACAGTGCTTCCCGGGGGGGGGGGGGGGGGGGGTTCCAGGTCCTCAGGAGTTGTGTGTCCTTGAGCCCTGGGCTCCCCTCTCTGGGCCTCAGTTTTTCACCTCCTGGGGCTCCCCAGCCAGTCCTGAGTGTTTCCTCCTGCCAGGGGCATTCCTGGGGCAAAAGACCTGGCTGGGCACACTGATGCTCCCAATGCTCCTCTCCCTGCCCTGCTGATGTCACACACCCACAGAGTGACTGTGACAGGTACACAACCATGGAAGGGTGAGGAGGTGGGGGCAGGTAACCACATGTTGTCCTCAGTGCTCAGGGAGTCCTACCTTCTGGGATCTCACAGTTCTTGGGAAGACAGAAATGTGCCCACATAATGTGACCCAAACTGAACACAGTTAGGGTGGGACAGCCCAGCACAGGTGGTTTCACACTTGGGGCACCAGGGGCGGCCAGCTGAAATGTAAGGAGGTGTTTTCATTGGGGATGGAGCCTCAAGTCCCAGGATGGTTTTGCCCACCAGCTGCTAATATTGTTCCTCTCTAAGAGTTCCCTCCTTCGCACTTCCCAAGGGAAGCTCAGATGGCAATTCCTGTTGCTCTTACTACCTCTAAGAGCAGTCAGGCGTTTCTCTGTGGCCTAGGGACAGGGGACATCTGGGGAGTGTCACTCTGCCCTGTGGGCAACCAGTGCTCACGGGGCCTGGAATCAGGGTCCTTGCTCCCTCAGGGTGGGAGACCAGTCCTTGCCTCAGTGTCCAAGTCTGCAGGGTCGGGGCCAACCGGCTGTGGGGACATGCAGGACAGGTTGCCTGGGGGAGGAGCGCAGAGCCTCACGGAGCGTTGGGCTCAGGAATCGGGGCTCGGGATGCTCAGGGTCGACTCACGGGTGGGGAATCTTACAGAGACACTTACGGGACTGCCTCTGAACCCGGGAATAAACCAGGGCCCCCAGCACAGCCACCAACATGATTCCTGAAACCCAGAGACTGATCTGGAAAGCTGAGCTTGAGGGTGACGGTTCCCGGGGAGATCTTGGGGGGGAAAGAAAGTAAGTGGCAGTGGTTTAGGATGGGAGATTTTGGGGTCCCCCTGCCCACAATCATCACCCCTCACTCCTATGGGCAGTCCCCACTGTCACTCCATAGAGGTCTGTGGTCCAGCTGTGGTCCATAGAGCTCTGTGGTCCAGCTCAGCAGGACCCAGGACTGACCAATCAGAGCACTCCCCTCTGTGTGGCTGCTGGGATTGGCCAGAGCCACTGTCAGTGTTGAGTTCAGAGGCCAGAGAGACAGTACAGCAGGGAGGGTGCTTGCCCTGCACAAAACCTACCTGAGTTGGATCCCCCACGCCACATATGGTCCCCTGAACATCACCACGATAACTGAGCACAGCCAGGAATAAGTCCTGAGCAATCCTCAGAAACAAAAAAGAAAGAAAGAAAAGAAAAGGTGCTGCGTTCTCCTGAGCTACGCTAACCCGTGGGATTGGGCACCTGGAATGCCCCTGAGCCCCTGATTACTGAGGGCAGAGTCGGCTGAGAATAAACCCAGCACCAAGAACAGTGAAGACAGAATAAGGAAAATTCTTGGCTTACACCCACAGATGGGGCTGCCAGATTGAATCAAACCTGATGGGGCCATTTTCTCGCCCAACTGTGGCATTTCCAGCAGCTGCAATGGTGAGAACTCATTCCCAGCCCCTGGAAAGGCCTTTCTGAGTGTCTGAGCAGAGGCCTCGGCAGGAGTCCGGGAACATCTCATGGCTGAGGGGTCCTTCCCCAGGGACCCTTCCATCCCTAATCAGAGACAGTCCTGCACGGCACCTCCTGAGGTGTCTCCATGCTCCCCACTGGTCCTCACCTGGGAGCTGGACTCTCATGGCTGCCTGGCCCGTCCCCAGGTCACTGAAGACGCAGCAGATGAAGGTCGTGTTGGTGGACTCCTCAGTGGGTTGGATCAGGAGTCGGAAGCCCAGGGGTACAGCAGAGGGGGCAGGGGGCCCGTGATCCTGGGGGACACAGGCGGCCTCTGTTAGAGCTCAGAGTGACAGTGACTGAGGAGTCCAGCACCTCCCCCTGTATAACCCAAGTTGAAGGGTACCTGGAGTCCCCCTGACTCTCCCTCTCACTCCCCCAAAAGTGCTCAGCAGACCCTGAGACCCACCTTTAGAATCCATCCAGAACCTTCCAGTCCTCAGGGCCTGTGTGGCCTCCACTCTCACCATGCCCCCTTGCTCTTGCTTCCTGTCATCCCACAACACACACACCTGCTGACCCGATGGAACTTAACTGCAATAGAGATCGAGGCCTCCTCTGCTCATGACCCCTAGAAATTCTACTTCTCTCAAAGGAAAGCCCAGTCTTTAGACTGGGTCCCCAGAGCTGCCCCAATCTGTCTGACCCCATGGTTACTCCTCCTTTACTCTGGACACCAGGTCCTTGGGGTTGGACCCCAGCTAATGATGCCCATACTGGGTGCAGGTGATCTTTGACCTTGCATGGCCCAGTGCTGAGTTGGGAGTGGGGGGATGGGGTAGGATGGTGAGGTTGGGGCACAGAGCAACCCTCGGAAGTGCTGGGGAACCTGCACTTCAGGGACTGAGACCCCAGAAACTATGTGATCCAGACACTTTATTTTATTGAAAAATAATGTGATGGGGTGCTAGAGCTGAACCCTGGATCTCACACACGTGGGTGCCTGTCACATCTCTGAGCTGGGTTTCCCTTCCACAGGCAAGACAGTTTTATAGGGGTCAAAGTTGACTTATGCCTCTGGACTTCCCCCTTCTCCTTCCGTGCGGACCAGGGGTCCATCCCCACCCTCTCCCCTGAAATCCGGAGTTCATCCGAGTTTCCTCCCTCAACCCAAGGCTCATGCTCCCAGCACCTGTTTCCTCAGGTACATCCAGGTCAGGCCCTCTTCCCCTTCATCTTGGAGTCTGGGTACCCAGGCCCTGTCCCCCAATAATTGGGAATCCAGCCCAGTCTCCCTCCTCGCACCAGATCAGCCCAAGAACTCACATGCTCCAGTCATAATGATGTAGGCAGGTAGATAGGGAAAGGCCCTTTGCAATGGAAGAAGAATTCTAAGAATGACCCAAGTTGTGGATACAGAAAATGGCCTGATAAGACCATCCGCAGACCCTCAGGATATAGGCCTCCCCATGAAATTCCTCTTTTTGGACCTCCCTGGTAAGCTCCTTAGCAATGAACTTTTACCTGGAAAGAAGCCCCCCCACGTGGGGGCAGGTTGGAGAAACCCTATAAAGGCCACCTGGAACAAAGGAAGGGCGCCCATATGCTGCCTGAGCCCATGTGTGCTTATGTCCACGTGGCTGAGCACATGTGGTACCCGAGCACATGTGTCACCCGCATCTCCCCTCTTGAGATGTGTACTTTCATGCTTTCGTGTCTAACTTTACTCTCTCACTCTCTCTCCCTCCCTCCATAGCTAAAAATCCTCCAAATAAAATCTATTTACTTCACTGCTTGTCTACTCCTGAAATTCCTTTCTGCGAGGCGAGACAAGAACCCAGCAACCCTAGGTCCCAAGTGGCAGAGGCGGGTGGGGAGAAAGTGACTGTCTTTCTCCTCCCCGCTTCACATAAGTCACCCGTGGGGCCAACCGACATCAATACCTCTTGGGCTCTGGGTTGCTGTGGGTGTCACAGGTCAGGTGGTCTCCCTGTGGCCCTGCTGCCTGGTGTCATCATAGAGAGCAATGGAGACCTGGAAGGCGTCTGGGGAGGGGACAGGAACAGGATCACCGACAGGAGCCCCAAGGGGTCCACACTCAGGTATAGTTCAGGTCCTGCAGGTACAGCCGAGATGGGAGGAGGGATTTAGTTTCCTGGGAGAAGAGAAACTTGAGGGTCCTGGGGTGGGAGGCAGCAGGGAGCAGAGACTCTCTGGGTCTCTCCTCCCCAGGCTCCTGGGCAGCATGTGTAGGGTGCTTTGGCTAGACTCTAGGCAAAGACTGGAACCCTCCTCATAAACAAGCTCATTCAAGGCCCTGACAAGTCCAGCGGACTGACAGCCATAGCCCTGTCTCCTGCTGCTCATCCCTCCTCCAAATGACCAGCAACTTCACAGGAATATCTGTGACCTGAGCAGTTGGAGGAGGCATTAAAGGATGGTGATGGTGGCCCAGGTGTAGATAATGAGTGTTGGTGTGCTGGTGCTAGTGGGGGGATCAGGGCAACACTGCTATCACTATGTTGGAGGCAGGAACTGAGCATGTCCATCTCAGTTCTCAGCCTTTGTCCTGGATCAACTCAGGGAGTCTGGGAACTAATCCAGGTCCCCAACCTGGCTCAGATTAACTGCCCCAGCTCAGGTGAAAAAAGAAAAAAAACAAGCAAATATGCCTACCAGGTTTTTCAGGTCTGACAGGTTTCCATAGAGAGAGTTTGGGGAATATTATTTGCTATGGGAGCAGGGGGAGGGTGGGAAGGGGGGAGGGTGTATACCTGGGATATTGGTGGTGGGAAATGTGCACTGGTGGAGGGATGGGTGTTTGATCATTGTGTGATTGTAACCCAAACATGAAAGCTTCTAACTATCTCATGGTGATTCAATAAAATTGAAAAATAAATAAAATAAAAGCAAAAGACAAGCAAATAAAAACCGAAATAAACAGTCTCCAGGATCCTATGTAACAAAGAGGCCATCCCCTCTCTCCTGACCCACAACACCTCCCCCACAACAGGCCCCAGATGCACCCCCAGCCCCACCACTGCTGGTCCATCTCCTTTGGTTTCACCCTGGCCCTTCCCTCTGAGACCTTCCCATAGCCCCCTCCCTACCCACTAGCCCCCCTTTCCAAAAGCCCCGCCCCTCACACTCACAGAATACACAGAGCCAGGTGTGCTCACTCCTGATCTTCACCCTGGGGACTAAGCAAACAACACCTGTGACATTCACATGCTCATGTGAATCTCACAGGTGCAGTTGGCTTTGTCCCCATGGCTCAGCCCATGCAGCTTCAGCGAGGTGTCCTGCAGGTCCGCACCCAACCGGGCGGCCTTGAACTCCACATGGTCGGGCTCTGGGATGCTGGGGTCCCGCTCCCATTGGAATTTGGCCACAATGCTGGGGTCCCCCAGCGGGTCCAGCCGCTTCCACCTGATCTCAGTCACCCGCAGGGTTTTGGACTCCAGTGGTTGCAGGTGACACGGCAGAGTCACTGTGCTGCCCAGAGAGCCGTGCAACTCAGTGGGCGCCAGCACGACCACCTCCCTGGCCTCTGTGGGTAGAAGGCAGAGGGGAGAGGGGCCAGAGTGAGGGGCTGCAGATCCCAGTACCCAGGTCTGGACGTGGAGGAGCACACCTAGGTTTGAGCACAGAGCAGCATAAGGTTCCCTGGGTAGAGGCAGGAATAAGGTCTATAGACCACTGGTTGCTGCCCAAACACAAACACACACACACACACACACACAACACAAACACACTTTTTTGTTTTGTTTTTTATTTTGTTTTGTTGTTGTTTTTGGTACAACCAACTCTAGGGGTACATGCATTCAAAATATTGAATGAAGTTTATTGAATGAAATTTGCATCAATCAAAAGTGATGAAGTGAGAAAGGACTTGTACCTAGGAAATACAATGACCTGTTCTGACACTTTTGTTTTTGATGTTTTTTGGTCTTTAGGTTCTGTGCTCAGGAATCACCAAAGTTGATATTTGCGGGATTTTTTTTTTGGGGGGGGGGGGGTTCCGGGATCAAACCCAGGTAGGCCCTGTGCCAGACTAGTGCCCAACTCATTGTACTATCTCCTACCACTGTACTATCACTCCCACCTCTCTCTGGCCACTTTAATATGGCTGTCTAACACACACCTAATCTTTTGAGAAAACAAAGAAACGCCTCAGTGTCACTGCACCTCCTTTTTGTGTTTCTTTGACTTCTGGGACCATTGAGAGGGTTTCTCACAGCATCACCTGTGGATTCTTGGGGAAACACACATCTACATAGCAGTGAGATCTCACTCCCCCCTGTGCTGTTGGGGCCTTGAATCACAGAGGGGCCTCATTCAGGCGTGGTGGGGCCAGTGTCAGTTTGTTCCACTTCTGAGAAACAGTAGAGATGCTTCTCAAAATAAAAATAGGGTGACCCAGCAATGATATTCTAATATCTACTCAAAGAACAGAAAACCCTCTTCCCGATGGGTCCAGAAGCACCCCATGTGGGAACTTCCCTCAGAAACATTCTGAACCCCCTCCAAACTTTGCAAATGATGCTCTGAACAGTAGAAATCACATCTGCACCTGTATGTTCATTGCAGCACTGTTCACAATAGCCAGAATCTGGAAACAAGCCGAGTGCCTGAGAACAGACAACTGGTTGAAGAAACTTTGGTACATCTAGGCAATGGAATACTATGCAGCTGTTAATGTTGGGCCCAACTTTCAGATCCCCAATCGCAGAGAGACCCAGTTCCACACACGATAATGCAAAATCAAAGGAGTTTTATTACTAGCCCGAGCCAGCACTAGCCCGAGCTAGGGTCCAAGTCTCATCTAACACAGTGGAGTCTTGACAAAAAGCCCAACTCCAAATCACAAGCAGTTTTTATAGGGTTCAGAGTTAAGAAGAAATTTATGTACTGATCCATTTTTAGCATTTGGGTGGAGCAATAGCACAGTGGGTAGGACATTTGCCTTTGCATGTGGCCGACCCAGGTTCAATTCCTCTGTCCCTCTCGGAGAGCCCAGCAAGCTACTGAGAGTATCCCGCCCACACAGCAGAGACTGGCAAGCTCCCCGTGGCATATTCGATATGCCAAAAACAGTAACAACAAGCCTCACACTAGAGACGTTACTGGTACCCGCTCGAGCAAATCGATGAACAACTTGACCACAGTGCTACAGTGCTATAGGCCTATTACAATGGTGGTCAGCAATTAGGCAGTGGTTAGTAACAGTTTCTAAGAAGGGTACAGTAACCCCTCATGACTGGCCAGACCCAACTGCCCAATTCCTTATCTCAGGAAGTTACTTAACTGAGAGTTTACCAGAAATTGCAAGACCTGCTCCGGAGAAACAGAAACTGAGGCCTAGTTGAGACTCAATGCTAGCTGCAGCTTGTCAAGGCATCAGTTTCACCCTCCCATTGAAGTCATGAAATTTGCTTATAAGTGGATGGTCATGGAGAGTATCATGCAAAATGAAATGAGTCTGAAATTTGCAAATAAAATTAGTTTGAAAGAGAGGGACAGACATAGAATGACTGCACTCATTTGTGGAATATAAAAAAAACATAATATGAGACTGACACCCAAGAACAGTAGACACAAGGGCCAGGAATATTGCTCCATGTTGGAAGCCTGTCTCATGAGCTGGGGGAGAAGCAGCTGGAACAGTGAAAGAATCACTGAGTCAATGATGGTTGGAGGGATCATTCGGGAAGGGAGATGTATGCTGAAAGTAGATAAAGAACCACAGCTAATAACCTCTCAGTATCTATATTGCAAACCAGAATGCCCAAAAGTAAAGAGAGAGTATGGGGGAAATTGTTTGCCATATAGGTAGGGGGAGGGGTGGTATAGGGTGGGATACTGGGGACGTTGATGGTGGAAAATGTACACTGGTAGAGGGATGGATATTCGATCATTGTATGACTGAAACTCAAACATGAAAGTTTTGTAACTGTATCTCACGGTGATTCAATTAAAAAAAGAAAAGATGCTCTGAATGTCTTGAACTCACAGTCCTGCCCCGGACTTTAGAGCACCTGGCACCCAGCACCTGCTCAGACACCCTGGACCCCAGCATGGACCCTAAGCCCCAGGAATGGCCCCTGAGAACACAGTTTGCTGGTCTCTCACTCACAGACAGTCCATCCCCTCTGCTCTCCAGCATTCCTGGGGACACTGAGTGCCTTTCCATGGGGTCAGTGCCTGATCCTGTTTTGAGCTGAGGTTGACTCAGGAGCAGTCGTTCTGGTCCCTGGAACACTGGGGTGAGGGAATAGTAAGGGGTCACTGCTAGGTGATTGCTTGCAAGTGGGCACCCTCAGAGCCAGATGTTTGGGTGCAGAGTGGAATGGGGTGCTGTGACCCTTCTGTGGAGTAACTGAGCCTGCCAGACTGGAATTGACAATTCCCTGATGGTTGCAGGGACCCTGTGGGACCATTGATCCTGCCTGTGGGGGTGCAGGGGTGGGGCGAGCACTTTGCAGGACAGGGAGCCTTGGAACCCTGGGGTCCAAGCACAGAAGAAGGGGTCACTTACCAGCTCTGGTGGGCACCCAGAGCATAGAGAGCATAGGGTGGTAAGAGCAGAGGCAGCAACAGAGGCAGCCCCGGCAGGGTTGGAGGCCGGGCCATGCCAGGGGTCCTAGCAAGGTGAGCAGGGTGGCCGGGGATCTCTCTGCCCTTATGGCCTCTCTTCCTGCTGGTTGATTCCCTTCATGCAGGAACCCAGGGGCAGCGGCTGCTGGAGGAACCAGTTCTGTTCAAAGAAATTTCTGCTTTAAGTTCCAGCATTTGCTCTGCTAAACCTCAGTGGAAAAGTTAACCCCCTTCCCTATGGAAACTCGCCCACTAGCCTGGGAGAAAATTTAGGTGACTCAAAATTTCTAATGCCACCACTATCTAATGCTGGAAACTGAGGTGAGACAGAAGCAAGACATCTGAGAATGGCCACATATCCCCAGGTTTTGGGTTTTGCCACATGCGGAGATGCTAAGTTATCACTCTTTGCTCTGTACTCAGGGCTGACCCCTGGCATGATTGATGTAGACAGGCAGGCAGATAGGGAAGTCACCCTCCAAAGGAAATGGCAGTAAATTGCTTTGAAGTAATATCAAGACTGGCCTTGGAAACTTGATCCAAGGCCAATCTTGCAGAAAACAGGAACTAAGGCGTGAGAAGATCTTCATCTGCCTCCAGCCACAGACCCAGAGAAGGCTGGACCTCCTCCTCCATTCCCTCCCCCAGATAGAAACTAAAGCAGAACAAAAGGCCAGGAAAGGAATTTCAAGGAAGACCATTATCACTTCCAAACTCCCCCACACCCCCACAACTTTCTTAGACATGGAAATTGCCTAGGTAGAGCCCCACATGGGGGGCAAGTGGGAGAGACCCTATAAAGGTCAGGGTGCACATATGCTGCCCCAGCCCACATGCTGCTTACATCCACGTGGCTGAGCACGTATTGCCCACATCTCCCCTGTGAGATGTGTAATTTTATGCTTTCATGTCTAATGCTGGAGTGTGTATAGGGGCTCCCTCAGCCCTTGGAGAAGCCCGGGTTCTCTCTTGAGCACTTACTCTCCACTCTCTCCCACTTTCTCTTCCTCCTTCCCTTCAAAACCTCCAAATAAAATCTGTTTACTTCACTGTTTGTCTATTCCTGAAATTCTTTTCTGCAAGGTGAGACAAGAACCCAGTAACCCTGGGTCCTGGGTGGCAGAGGTGGAGGGAGAGAAAGTGACCATCTTCCTTCCCACTTCATATAAGTCACCACTGGGGTCCATTGACATCGGCATCAAGGACCCACCTGGGTGTGAGATCTTACCTGTGTGGCCTGTGGAGAAAAGTGCCCTGCCCGCTGTGCTGTAGCTCTGGCCCCACAGCCTCAGTTTCTCCTTCTGAAAAATCCTCATCCAGGAGAGTCTGCAGGGCTGCACCTGACCCTACTTATCTGGACTCCGGTTGGTGAAACTGTCCTCCACTTGTCCGTGGTCTCTTAGAAATTCTCTTAGGGTGGGAGGAGCTGAAAGAACTGGGGTGTCAGCAATTCCACTCCTGGGAATATATCCCAGAGAAGCAAAAGAGTATAGTCGAAGTGACATCTGCACTTTTTTGTTCATTGCAGCATTCTTTACAATAGCCGGAATCTGGAAAAAACCTGAATGCCTGAGAACAGATGACTGGTTAAAGAAACTTTGGTACATCTACACAATGGAGTACTATGTAGCTATTAGAAAAGATGAAGTCATGAAATTTACATATAAGTGGTACTACATGGAAAGTATCATGTTAAGCGAAATGAGTCAGAAAGAAAGGGATAGACATAGAAAGATTGCATTCATCTGGGGAACACAAAGTAACAAAATCGGAGACTAACACCCAGGAGTGGCCAAGATTAGTGTCAGGAATTTTGCTCCATGATTTGGAGGCCAGCCACATGTGCTAGGGGAAAAGGAAGCTCCGATAGAGAAGGGAGCCCCAAATAAAGGGTGTTGGGAGGATCCTCCCAGGATGGGAGAAGCATGCTGAAAGTAGACTATAGACCAAACA